TTTCTTCCAGAAAATAAACCCAAGTTTTTCTTGAAAAATCATCAGTAAAAGTAATTAAATACCGTTTACCTCCATTAGACGTTGGGTTTATCGGACCACAAAGATCTGAGTGTACTAGCTCCAAAACATCCTTTGCTCTCCATGACTTTCCTTTGGGAAATTGAGAGCGATGTTGTTTGCCAACAACACATTCTTCACAAATTTTGGAAGGTGCAGTAATTTGAGGAAGACCAGTAACCATGTTTTTCTGTTGGAGTGTTTTCAAACCTCCAAAACTCAAGTGACCATAACGGAAGTGCCACAACAAGGATGAATCCTTTACTTCAGCCATCAAACAGGATTGGATGCTATCAATCCTTAGTGGAAATAATCTGTTGGAGCTCATTTGAACTACTGCAATAGCTCCTCTCACAGGATCATAAATTTCACACTCGCCCTTCTTGATAGTGATGACATAACCCTTTTCTTGCAACTGACCAGCACTAAGTAAATTACTTTTCAAGTCAGGAACATACAACACATTAGTAATTGTTTCCACAAAACCATTCTTGGTTTTAATCTTGATGTCACATTTCCCCATCACTTCCACAGTTGACCAATCACCAAACGCTACAGTAGAGTGGAAATTTTCGTCTAGAGATGAAAAAGAAAATTTACTTCCACACATGTGATTACTGCATCCAGTATCTACATACCAAATATTAGACTCATATTTTGTTCCACCATGGACAGCCATTAACAATGTTTCTACTTCCTTATTTTCGACAAAATTGGCACTTTCACATTTTTCTTTGTCATTAGGAAGTCTAGTGTAACAATCTGATGCATAGTGACCAAATTTGTGACATCTATAACACTCTACCTTCGATTTGTCATGATCTCGACCTCTGCCTTGAGACTGATCAGTGCTGGTTTTGTAATTTCTGCTGAAATCTCTTGCTCCACGATCTCCTCTTCCTCTTCCTCCACAATCTCCTCTTCCTCGGCCTCTACCTCTACCTCTATAGTTGCTGGAATAAGTATTAGTAGAAGCCTTCAACGCTTGCTCCTGCACTCCAGAACTTTTGTTCATCTTCTGTTCATGAACCAATAAAGAACTTTGCACTTCATCAACAGATAGTTCATCTATATCCTTTGATTCTTCAATTGAGCAGACAACATAATTATATTTTGATGTCAGAGATCGTAAAATCTTCTCCACAATGGCTACATCACCTATCTTCTCACCATGGAAGCGCATCTTGTTGGTTATTTCCATGGTTCTAGCACAATAGTTTGTCACAGATTCTCCTTCCTTCATCTCCAGTGTTTCAAAATCCTTTCTCAAAGCTTGAAGCTGTGCACGCTTCACCCTGCTTGAGCCTTGATACTTCTTCTTCATGGAATCCCAAATATCCTTGGAAGTTTCTTTGCAAAGAATAGTTTCCAGGATGGGACGATCAATTGCCTGAAAGAGATAATTCTTCGCTTTCAGATCTTTCAGCTTTTTTGCTTCCAACTCTGCCTTTTGAGCATTCGACAAAACTTCGCCTTCCGCCGGAGTGTCGATGTCGTCCTCAATAATTGGCCAATACTCTTTTGACCGTAAGAAATTCTCCATCAACATGCTCCAATGGTCATAATGACCATCAAAGCGAGGAATTGTTGCTTGCACAAAATTATTTTCAGTAGCCATTAGATAATATGAAAAGAAATTTGTGGCTGCCTCACTTGTTTTCACTCTTTGAATAACCTGGCGCTGATACCACTGATGGAAACTTAAGAAGGAGAAATAAAAAGATACGTAAGGAGAGAAAGTAATTTGCTGAAAAACACTTCATCCTTTTATTCATGACTTCAAGCCTATAAATAGGCAAATACTTAACAGAATAATCAATTAAATAGGACACATATCAGTCCCATTATCAACTTACTCCTAAAATAGAGCACATGACTCCTAAAGCAACTATAACACTTTACTGCACTAATTCCTTAAAAACAGAACAACCTGCAAACTACTACAATCAAAAAAGGAATCAAAACTCCTAAAGACTAGGTCAACTGATAGAAGAATAACGACTAAAAATCCAACACTCTCAGCATAACTTTAAGTGCTTTCAGCTAAAGCTAAGATGAAATCTGGCCTTCCTTCACAGTCAAAGGACCTCAGTCTGCAGCCACCAATTTTTGAATTTAAAATAGGACCTCGCAGGCTCTTAATTCCCACATTGTAATAGAATTGGTGAGTGATCAGAAGTGACCTTTCGCAAGATTGGTTGCTTGATATTTTTGAAGCCTCCATTCCGCTCATTAGACACTAGAAACCTATCTAGCCTAGCTACAATGTCATGTTTGTCCCCTTTCCTCCCTGTGTAACTTCCTCATGGTAATTGAAGACCCAACAAGCTCATATCTTCATTGAAATCAGAGAGGTCAGTCTCTACTATTTGGAGCATAGATATCAGTTAGTACCCAGGTGAAGTCAAGACTTTTACCTGTGAACTTGCAGGATGTAGAGTATGCTCCCGTACTGCTAACCTCCCCTGTCAAAACTTTCCCATCCCAAAAAATTAGGATGCCCCCTCTAGTACCACTAGCTTCAAGTTGACAAAATTCCACTCCTTTGTTTACTCCGAAATCCTTAGGTAATTTTATGATGTTCTGATGGATCCAAATCGGCACGTCAAAATCTGAATCATCTTCTTCCTCTAGACTACGTTGGTTTAGAGGAACTACATCTTCAATTGTTGTGAATGAATTGTTCTCTTCACCTCTCTGTGAATTAAGTTCTTGAAAACACTAGTTTTCCAAAGTTAGATGAGAATCACGGAGGAGCCATGATAATGTTTCTAGGTCATATGTATTGAGTATTCTCCAAGTCATATATGTTGCTGCCGTGATAATGTTTCCAGGTACTCCCAACCCCAATGTGATATCTGAGACTTTGTGACCGAAACTAATGTTCTATTCTGGGGAGATGAAACCACATCATCACCATCCACAAGTACTAGGCCAGATGGGATTTTGATTATTGATATTCCAAGACAGAACTGTATAAATATTTGTATTAAGGGCGGTGGGTTGAGTATTCATTAAATACTTGAAAAATAATTGGTTGTGTAATTGTGACAAGGTGTTGAAGAGAATCTCCACTTGTGGTTTTGCTTGCCCATAATTTAGATTATTTTCTCTCTTACTTACAGCGAGTAGAAGACCATCTTTTTTTCTCCTACCTAGCTAGCTGTTGATACTACTGTCTCTTGTCCCCATGAATTTTAGAAATTTATATATATATATATATAATAGATTCACTGCACGTGCATTGCACGTGTAGGTTAAGTCCTGAGATCCCTATACACGAGATATTTTATCTTTTTATGTATATTTTAGGTTTTCAACATATCAATATGTATTTAATATTACACTACATCATACTAAGTGAATGACCAATCTATTTGCCTTCTTGCTTGTTGGGCATGTAGTGACGAACGTCGTATGCTTAAATTGTTATTAGGCAATTTGTTAGTAAGTAATTGTGCACGAATTAACAATTTTTCCTCTTAGTTATGTCGTGTCATGAATTGTATGTTCCCTTTTATTATTTGAAATTTAGTGTACCCTCTATTTGAATAACTTTATATACACAAAGTAATGTCTTATGTGGTAGCTGTCTCGTGTTTTTCATATCGTCTCCTCTTCCACCAAACCTAAGAATTCGTCCAATATCATTTTCATTAGCTACATGTGTGGTGTATGT